GCTTTAAAAGATTATTTATTCAGTGGTATGGAACCCATGAAAGGAGTCGATTGATAACAACACGACCATCATCAACAGCAGCCGCTTTCCAGACTAGATTTGCATCACTTAATAGTGTTAAAGTGAATTGTAATTGCATTGGAGGTAACACCCGATCTTCAAGCTCTTCAAAAAATGAATAACGGTTTAGAGGAATCTTTACATTCACATTATTGTTTCCAGTTGTCAACAATCGTCGAGCTTCAAATCCATTGTTTTGATTTGCATTAGCTATTCTGTGGTCTGTGTCAAGGTACCATAAACTATTTTTAGCAACACTTCTTGAGTAATCATCACTGTATTCAAGCAAATTCTTCAAATTCATAACTTTGTGAAGATTATCAGTATCATAAACGATTTTACCTCCACTTTTAATAGTCATCTGCTGAATCAATAAATGAACACAATTTATTACTATTGCACGATCTCCTCCATATGCAGTACCATCAGCTAGCTTTTTAAGTTGGAATTGGACCTCAAAATAGCATTATACCAGTCGAAAAACTACTTCGGTCGTTGATGCTGAATTTGTAACCAACTTTAGATTGCGCCTGACCATTAGCTAGCGTGCGAATAACATCATCTAGTTGAATTCTGGTTAATTCATTTCGTTGTAAATATTCACTTGTTCTGAATGCCCTTATATTTATAAGTTAGATTATTTTAACGTCTTAAACCACTACCACTTATTAAACGATTTAGAATCATATCAGTTGATTCTTCTTGTTTTTTACTTTTTGGAATTATTTGTTTTCTTGGTGTCATCGCAGGAATTTTTTGTGTAATAACATTTGGCATTTGTGGTGTAGTTTTTGATTTAGTTGTTTGTGGTGTATTTTTTGATCCATGTAATTTCTTCATTATATAATCACCTGATTTTTGAGAAACAGCTTTTCCAAAACGTTCTCCAGCATGTGAAACACCTGGATCAAGAGCTTTCTTAGCAAATGGTTTGGCTACATTTTTAAATAAAGCTGATGTAACAGCTTTTATTAGTTTGAACAATTTATCAATCATTATACCAGATCCCTTGAGTTTATAGACAAAACGGCCTAATTTTGGATGATAAATCTTTTTGAACTCAATTGATCTCATATTAATCAGTTATATTAATTTAGTTTATTGGTTTAACAGCAATGAAAAAGCTGTGTTTTGTCCATTCAAATCAATAATTCTTCGTTTTCCATCAGTAATATAGATGCGAATGCTTGATATCTTTTTGTTGTTGTTGACTGGACTATAAGTCACTCTTTGTGGTTCAAGAGTGAAACTATATGATGATTTAAGTACACTTGTACTAAAGCTGTAGATTATGTCTGTTTCTTGACCATCTACCATACTCTCATCAATGAGATCACAATGAACGTTTAAAAGATGAGTGTCTTGTGATAAATTGGGAATTTTTGGACCAACATGAGTTCCAGAACTTAGAAAAACTTTTTCAAAACCAATAAGCTCATTAAAATTACTACCTTTAAGAACAAGCTTATAATTATTGGCTATTGTCATTTCCACTCGAAAAGTTGTATCATCAAATTCTAATGTTATGGGATAAGTGTTATTAACTTTTGTTTGAGATTTAATGTAAACGTTGAAATTGGTATAATTCCATACACCAGCTGGTAGAGTGATCTCAGTGAAAGTTGTACCGTTATCTTTACTATATTTAAGCTTCTGGTTATTTAGTGAACTGTTAACATTAAACCATGTAAAACTCGTGTTTATGATTCTGTTAAGGCCAATAACATACTCACGATTATCTCCGAGAGTTATAGGTTGAACAAAAAATATTTGTATAATCAGATGGTTTTCCAGATTCGTTTTTGTAAGAGGTTAAAACAATTTCTCTATCCATTATATATTATAACTACATTATATCTTGAAATAATTCTTCACAATTTTTTTGTATTGGTTCTTATTGATAATTGACATCCTCAGAAGAATATCAAGAATGGCTTGACCTGTGTTTCTCATTTGGATACTTGTATTGCCGACTGTCATTTCACCAATTATAATTCAAGTT